CCAAAAAGAATTTCTTTTTTTGCTTGTCGCACGCTTCTTAGACTTTCAGTGACCAGAAACCCGGGCGATATTCTCGATGTGTTGACTTTGCCCACTGTTCCCAATGGCCCACCCACCAAACATACCTGAGTAGTCGCTACGCAACACCTGCATCGTTCTCAAACAACCGCTCGAGTGATTGCATACCGAGTGGCATAGTCTGTGGCCACTGCAATCCATTTATTTCCAGTTGTAGAAGTAGGAAAAGGGCCTAGCAAGTCCAACCCCACTCGATAAAATGGCTCGGCTGGAACTTCAATAGGTTGAAGTAGACCGGCAGGGAGAGTCGTAGGCTTCTTTTGGCGCTGGCAGAGGTCACAAGATGTGACGTAACGGCGAACAGAGCGGCACAGACCCTTCCAGAATACTCGTCGTCAAATGCGGTCGTAAGTTCTGGAGACCCCTAGATGTCCAGAAGTTGGAGCGTCGTGGAATTGTCGCAAAACATCCTTTCGCAGGTGATGCGGTACGACGAGTAAAAGTTCGGCGCCGTCGGGGTGTAAGTTGCGGCGGTACAAAACGTTGTCTTGAAGCAGGTATCTGCTAAGAGAAGGGTCAGCATAACGCGATTGAAAGCGGTCAATGATGGTGAGCAGCGATGGATCTTGGCGCTGTTCGTCAGCCACGTTCAGAAAGTCAGTGATGGCTAAAACGCAGGCATCGGATTTCAAATCAGTGGAGCTAGGTGGATCAACAGGGTGCCGGAATAAGCAGTCAGCATCGCTGTGCAGCTTTCCAGATTTGTAAACAACCGAGAACGTGTACTCCTGTAATCGAAGTGCCCATCGGCCGAGTCTTCCTGTAGGGTCCTTAAGCGTCGACAGCCAGCAAAGCGCATGATGGTCCGTGATGACTGCGAACGGACGTCCGTATAAGTACGGACGGAATTTTGCAATAGCCCAAACGAGGGCTAAGCATTCCCGCTCAGTGATGGAATAATTTTGTTCCGCTTGCGACAAAAGACGGCTAGCGTAGGCTATCACACGGTTGGTGCCATTCTGTATCTGAGCGAGTATAGCACCAATGCCATGGCCGCTTGCATCGGTGCAAAGCTCTGCCCGAGTCGCTGGATTAAAATGAGCCAACACAGGTGGTGATGTGAAAGCGGTAATTAACGACGCGAAGGAATGTTCTTGGTCCCTTCCCCAAGAAAATGCCACATTCCTTTTGAGGAGATCCGTGAGGGGCCTAGCAATATCCGCGAAATTGAAGACAAAGCGGCGGAAGTATGAGCAGAGCCCAATAAAACTGCGAACTTCTTGTGTGGAACGCGGAACCGGGAATTCTCGGACTGCACGGACTTTGTCAGGGTCGGGTTGAACACCAGTGGCGTGAACAAGGTGGCCGAGTAGTTTAATCTGCCGACGTCCAAATGAGCATTTCGACGAATTGAGTTGGAGACCAGCGCAACGGAAAACGTGAAGAATTGCCGAGAGACGAGACAGGTGGCTTTCGAAGGAGGGCGAGAAAACTATTACATCATCCAGATAGCAGAGGCAGGTCGACCATTTGAAACCGCGAAGAAGAGAGTCCATCATACGTTCAAAAGTAGCCGGGGCATTGCACAAACCAAAAGGCATGACCTTGAATTGGTAAAGGCCGTCGGGTGTGATGAATGCCGTCTTCTCGCGGTCGCGGTCGTCGACCGAAATTTGCCAGTATCCGGATCGAAGGTCAAGGGACGAGAAATAGTTGGCACCGTGGAGGCAGTCGAGCGCATCTTCGATTCGAGGTAAAGGATAAACGTCCTTCTTGGTGATCCGATTCAGGTGGCGATAGTCGACGCAAAAACGCCAGGTGTTGTCCTTCTTTTTAACTAAGACCACAGGGGAGGCCCAAGGACTCGATGACGGCTCAATGACGTCTTTACTGAGCATTTTCTCGACCTCCGTCTGTATTACTTGGCGCTCAGCACGTGACACGCGATAAGGGCGTTTGTGAAGTGGACTGGCGTCGCCGGTGTCGATGCGGTGGGTTACGGCACTTGTGCGGCCCAGGGGACGGTCGTCAACGTCACAGATATCCAGGTAAGAAAATAGAACACCCCGGAGCGCCGCAAATTGGGAAGGTAAGAGTTCACTGGATATCATTTTGTCGAGGAACGCCTTATTTTGCGACGGGATGACAGGTTTCGTCATGGTCTTAGTGTCAGGTGTAAAAGAACAAATCGAACATTCATCAAGGGTGGAAAGATCGGCTAAAGTGATGCCTTGGGGAAGCACTTGAGTCGACGTAGAGAAGTTCAGAACTGGAAGTAGCACCGTGTTGTTAGCAACAACCACTATAGTATGTGGTAGTGCGATGTGGTGCGTAAGAGTCAAATCAATGAGGGGAGCTACCAGATAGTCTCCATCAGGAACGGACGGGAAGGGCGACAGAGGGACGTACATAGCAGCCTCGGGCGGTAGCCGTAGAGACTCCACGGATCGTAGCCGAGTGCGACTTGGAGGAGTGAAATCGGAGCACAAAGGCAATTCGAGCCGTAAGATACCGGTAGAACAATCGATGAGGGCGGAGTGGGCGGTTAAGAAGTCAATTCCAAGGATGACGTCGTGTGGGCAAGCATCGAGGACTGCGAAGAGAACGGAAGTGTGGTGGCCAGCAACAGTAACGCGGGCAGTGCACATACCAAGCACCGATGTTCGACTTCCGTTGGCAACTCGAACAGTAGAGAACATAGCTGGTGTGAGAACCTTTTTCAGGCGAGATCGAAGTGTAGAACTCATAACAGATACTTGGGCACCAGTGTCAATTAGAGCAGTAACGGTGTGGCCATCAACGAACACCCAAAGTAAATTGCGTCTTGAATTTGTAGCCGGTTGAGGGTTTTCGTTCCGAGTCGTCAACGCAGCGCCACCTCCAGGAGCTGCACTCGTCAGTTTCCCGGGGAATGAGCAGAATAAGCCGGTGACGGAGAGCGGCGGCGTTGAGGGGAGCGTGACGGCCGACCCTGAGGTGACGGCGAGCGGCTGGACCAGTTTCTCTGGGCGACGACGTCAGCGTAGGACGGTTCGGAGCATGGAAATGAACGGCGAGCTGAAGGGTCCAGAATATGGTCATCCGGAAAACCGGGTTGCGAATAGTGTCCGCGGTCCTGACGGCGATCTACATTACGAAAGCTTGGCCGGAAATACAACCTGTTGCGGCAATGGCGGGAGATATGCCCAACTCGAGAGCAAGAAAAGCAGATTGGTCGATCATCATGCGTGCGCCACTCAGATGGATTTCGGTAGCGTGGTGGAAACCGAGGAGTCGAAGCTGCCGCAGCGACAAGTGGAGCAGAGTGGTGGTCAGCGTTGTGGACGGGAGTGCTCATGGGCTGCGGCATAAGTCTGGCGGGCTGGGGAACCTGGACGCCCAGGTTAGCAAACTCCTGACGTACGACGGCTTGAATAAGCGAGACTGTTGCCCAGTTGTCTTGCGTAGGGGGCTGATAGGAAGCGGGTGCCATGGCTTCCAGCTCCTGGCGAACAATCCTTGCGATATTGGCAGGAGGGGCAAGTGAACGGGGCGCTGCAGAATCCTCGCAAGACAAAGTCGCAGCAGTGTTTGGTAGTCTCGCGATTTGGTGGGTGATTCGCCTGCTTTTAGCTAGCTCAAATCGCCGGCATTCAGATATGATGGAGTCGACAGTGGTGCAGTTCTTGCACATTAGTATGTTGAAAGCATCATCAGCAATGCCTTTCAACACGTTGCTGATCTTGTCCGCCTCGGACATGTTTTTGTCCGTCTTCCGGCACAGTGCCAGTACGTCTTGGATGTACGTGACGTACGACTCCATCGATGATTGAACACGCGACGCGAGTTCCTGCCTGGCTGCCATCTGACGAGCAACTGACCGACCGAACAAATCGCGAAGATTTTGCTTGCATGTGTCCCAACTGGTTAATTCTTCTTCATGCGTCTCATACCAGGCGCGTGCCGTACCACGTAGGTAGAATAGAATATTTGCCAGCATAAGCGTTTCGTCCCACCTGTAGTGCTTGCTGACGCGCTCGAATAATGCGAGCCATTCTTCGACGTCCGTGCTGTCCGTCCCGGAAAACGTGCCAGGGTCGAGAAGATGGGGGGGATCACAGGTGATGGAGCCGGCGCGGATGGCGAGGCCTGAGTGCCAGTTTCAGGCATCACGGCTGGACAAAGCTGGCGTTTACTGCGGAGTTCCAGAGCCGGGTTGTGTGAAGACCCAGCACCTTCCACCAAAAGATGTTACGGGAAAGATTTATTCACCGAGAGCTGGTCTTGCTAACGGCTTAGAGAGCGCACAGTCAAGCAGGCCAACGGGAGAAGCTTCAGAGTCCAACCCACTACAACCACGTTGTCGTCTTCTTCATTTTGGTGCCAATTCAGCTGTGTCGGTGCGACAGTTCCATACACATATCAATATTATAGGAGGCGCACAACCATGAAGTGAGAAGACGAGCTTCACACCCCGGCCACTTACACTGTCTAGACTCTGCAAGCTAAGCTTCCTCGCTCCATATCCTCTCGCAATGGAGTCGGAGGATCATGTGACGCACATGCATCATTAGGTGACAAACACATCATGATGAGTTGGTGAGATGTGCCCTCCTTTTTTCTGTGCAGTTTATGCTCTACTAGAGCACCTTGACGACCACCTCGCCCATCGCACGAAGTGGTGCAGCTCTTTTAAGTGTGTGTACTGCCCTCAGTGTCATTTGTCATCAGCCCACCTTGCAAAGCTGTACTCACAGGAAGAAGAGCAGACAATGTTCAGTTTAAAATTTGAGCTTTCATCCTCGGTGCAAAGCAACATAAGTCATCACAAAGCCGATCCTGAGGGTGCAATGTAAGCGCTGCACGTGTCACCTTAAAATGACCAGAGCTGGTGTGTGGGGCCCTTAAAATAAAGGCCGGTACTGTTGGTTAAGATTCACGACACCTTCTGAATATCTGAAATAAAGCTGCACGCTTTTACTACATATGTGTAAGACGACGAATCAATGCACATGGCACACTGTGTTGTAGAACACTTTTTTTGGTGTAGATGCTCTTGGACTCACTTTCTTCAGATGGCGTGGTGAACAGGGAGCCCCTGAGTCGGCATTCACTATCTCCTCCAGGATGATCTGCAAGGGAGGCACAGATCACACCGATTATAAAGGACACTAGAACTCTCACTGTCCAAACTAGCAGCTGCACACTGTTCAGAGCAGACAAGTGGCCAAGACCAATGACTGTGCAAGGTCCCTTAACACTAGCACAGATATATCCTTCGGTGGTCACTGAGACGGTAAAGGCTAGGAATGAAATACAATGTAAGAGACTTCCTTCTATGATACATAGATACACTCGATATGAAGCAACACTGCCCCTGCAGAACTATTCACTGTTACACCAAATAGTGACAGATATGACACGACTACAGCCAGCATGTTCACCGATGGTGTTATGACTACGTTCCACAGCTCGTTTGGAATGTCGTGCCAACTGTTAATGCCTGCGAGCATTAACAGTTGATACCATTCTGGACACAAGAAACATTCGAACAAATCATATAACAATATTTAAACCCACGGCAGCAAGACTACCTTTCTAAACACAAGAGATGGCAATCAAGGAGCCCAAGAGAAACCATCAGAAATGACCGAGCGTTTATCGCAGATTCACTGAAGGCCTTCAAGTGGATTGAAAGGGGCTTTCTCCCTTTGTCAGAACTCATTAATATAGCTAACGGGATTAGTCAAGTTGGTAACTAAGCTGTTGCAATCAACAACTGGGCATGTTGCTTGATACTGAGTGTCAGATTAGCCTATTTACTGTGCTGACGAAAAAAATGAAATAAAAAAAGCACTTTGGTGTTCTTCGACTTTGGCACGCTTTTGAGAAGGTGTCAGGTAGATTATTTTGGTAACTGGGCAGTCCCTGCTTGTCTAGTAAGCTGCTATAACATATTTGAAATCTTGGATCCAAAAAATTCCTGATGCTGGGAAGCACTATTACAATTATTCTTACATAGCCCCCTTATTTTTTTAGATGAGCTGATGCTTTCACCAGCAGTCCTGGTATTGTTTGTAATGCTCATGCAAATACAGCAACATTCCTACAGCTGATGACATTTCACTGCGAAACTTAGGCCATCTTTCCTTACCACAGTCGAGTTCTTTGTTATTTCTTACTGTCAGATGACGACAATCATTTCAACAGCCATAACAATTGTTGTGTAGCTGCAACACAACCTAGTGCACGACTGTGTGATGTAGTGCTCGACTGCCTATGAACCCTGAAAGCCACTGACCATCAGATAGTTTTGACAAACCCCTTGCATCCTATGGATTACGAGAAAGGTTCAGCTTGATGGCACTGACAATGCCATTGCCTCTATTTTTCCACAAACATTGTGTCGTGCATAGAAGGCAAATAATCAGTAATGAGATGACCACTATTTTTTATCAAATAAAGCCAGAGCAAGGTACCCCATGCAAGGCATTAAAGTTGGCCATGAGTACGGAGATTGCATTCGAATGACGATGACGAAACAGCAAGAAAAGCAAGAAGCGCTCACAAAAGGCACAAGTGCATGCATTAAACGGCGCACGGCTCGAAGCTCATGACATGAGCCTTTCACGAAGGTTGCAGTTCAACGAACTGGCATTGTTTGCTTGGCTATGGTAAAAGAAGGCCGCAAGGGAAGCTTCGTTTTATAGACGAGAAGCAGCAGGCGTTCGATTCCGGAGGTCGTTATGCTGGCACTCTGTGGCATGTCCATCGACTTCAACGATATTCAGACAATGCTCTTTGGAGGTGCTTCAGCCTCTTTCGGCAGTTTTGTATGCACCATCAGCAGTCCCCCTTCGAATGTTGGCCAGCAGCGATTTCTGTGACACCACGTGATCACTTTGAGGAGGGGCTGAGCTCATCCTTAGGCTTAACTGACGAAGACACCTTCCCATGTCAATGACGACGTCCGAAAAAGACTTACAGCAGTCTGATTGGCTGTCACTCACCTAGACAGCTGTTTCAACTCGACTGTCGGCAACAACAACATAGGACACAAAACAACATAGGACACAAAACAACATAGTGTGGACATTCAGCAGACTTGGATCGACAAAACAAAGCAAGAGCGCTTCACTCAGGCAATGACTCAACAGTGAGGCCTAAGTGCACAGACTGCAGACCAGACAGTGACCCTAGTTATTGAGAAACGAGAACTTATAATCTCTGTAGTCAGTTTATTTTGGGGGATTTGTTAGTAGTAGACTCTATAAGGTTTTTCTTACTGTTTATTGTGTTTTACTGAGTGTAGTGCTTTCTTGGGTCTTTTTCTCATTTGTAATTAAAATCATGCTTGCTTTGCCCTCTAACATTCTCTCAATCCATCGCCAAAACACACAAAGTGGCAACAGAAACACAATTACTGTGGCTGTCCACAAACCCCAAAACGAGCAAAATGCTATGCATTTGCATTCTCCAGCATATGCATTGACGATTTACTACACTTTAAGACAAGTAATTTTTCCCCACAAGCTAACTACAAATATAACACATGGCTCATGAAATAACTTCACATTTCACTAGTGCAAAATATGAATACTTTTGTTTGAAAACAAAGACAAGGTGAATAGTAATTAACACTGAATAATTTTCAAGCAAACAGCTCAAACACTCCAGTTCGTATGAAATCTCAGCAAATCTTGATATAAGAGGCTGACAAACTTTTCAAAAGTCAGTTCTTTACTTGTTGAAAAGTAAACAATTTAACATATGCATTGCATTTTTTTTTCCTTCTGAATAGTGATAATTCAGATATCTAACTGTATGATGCCATTTTCATAGGCTGTTTGGGCATTTTTTTTTTTTTTTTTTGTCGTAATCGGAGGTATGCGTTATGCTTCATGGAGCACGGCAGGCTTTGAATGTTACCAGATTTTGATTATATAACTTTTTTAAAAACTCGATCAGACAAAAAGCTAATTGCAGCGCGAGTAATGTACAAGCTTCTCTTTGAGGTGTGGCTTCACGGCAGCACGCGTTTAGGCCTGTAAAAGTGGTTTCTCGGCAGCAATGGCCACTATGCGGCGAAACCGCCTTTCCAAGCGGGTTACATGTGGGAGAGGGAGGGGGGGAATGTCCTACACGGAAATTAGAGATAAATCGAATATCAACTTTCACAGTATTCGTTAAAATATTTAGAAAGAATGTCAAATAATTGCCGAAGCCCACATCTAACTAATCCATAGTGAGCAATCCGTAGGGTAATCTCCCTTCTCCTGATTCACAGCTGCAAATGAGTCTTGAGATAGTATTAAAATACTCTCTGTCACACAGATGTCAGGGCTTGCCTGGAGTACACTTAGATGATGTTTGTACAGTAATACAAAGTCGATGTAGTGGGATCTACACAGACTGGCTGACATAGACTTCAATTTCGTGGGATGGAGCATAACGTTAGCTGGATGAGCTGAAGGTGCGGCACTACATTATGGCAAACCCTTCAGGCACTACTCACGGGGCACAGGACCAGCAGCATGATCTGCAGGGGCCAGGCCTGGGCCCGCCGCTTGTTGTTTTCCGCAAAGCTATCCAGCACATCAAACATGCGGTCGCAAGCATCTGGAAGAAAAAAAGACAGAGGCAGTTGCTACTGCAGTCCAAGCAACAATACCAGGGTGTCATGAGTAAGAGGGCGCGAGGTGCGTGCTGGGTGCTAGAATGCAGCGATGGTGCGTGAGGCATTGGTGGTGCACATAAGCACCACGTTCATATATAAGATAGGACGCAGAAAGGCTCATGGCACGTGACACGAGCCGTGATGAAAAATTCTAGAGGATGAGCTGTCACTGTGCTGTGGGGCTTCGAGCTGTGAAGATAAGGACATCATCGTCGCTACAGCGTTGGAAGCAGTAGCCGCCCGGTTTTGAAGGATGTCGGCATAGAGGCCCACAGGGAGTGGCCGTCGACCTCGGAGGACACGAATGAGGCTGCCCGAACTTGTCGCACCCTTTCACAGCAGTTCGTGGTGAACCTACAGCTCTCCCACTTTGCGCCAGGGCGGTAGCAGCCGACACCAGTCATCGGAGTGACTCACCAGAAATCAGTAGGGCCATTGACAAGTTAGACTTAAACAAGCAGGGCCGAAGATGAAGAAGACCGAGACACCGGCAATGAAGAAAAGCAGCTCACTGGGCAGAAACAACAGACGACGATCGTAGGAGCTTGCGGAGGACGTCGACAACAGACTTGACGAACCGTCGACACGGTAAGGGCACAGAGTCGACAGGACGAACTGTAAGGTAGTACGATTACCGAAGTGCCATATTGGCTATACGCTGGCTAGGGTTAAAACGCGTATTGCAGTTTGTTCAGGTTTCAGTCCATAGCTGGCTGTCATGTACTTATGTTGTTCTAGAGTAGATAGTGAGTGTTCATTCTTGCTTTCCATTTTTTGGGGGGTGATAGTGTATTTGTCTGGCCACTCCCGTCTCTCTCCTAATCCAATCTTTTGCAAGCACTCCCGAGATTAGTCGTGACACAGGAACTTGAGGGGAAAAAATGGCATGCCCGACTTTGTGCAAATGACTTTTGCATTAAAGAATAAAAGAAAGAAAGCCTACACAGCTATTTGCACCTGTACAAGTGAAAACAGAGAACAAGATCAGCATTTACCAAATTGCATTTCTATTGCACAGTGTAATCAAGAGTTCCGACGAAAACTCGAGTCGGGAACAATAATGGTCAAAGGCAAAGGATTATGTCAACGTCATCCAAAAAAAAAATTCTAAAATAAGACATTTTGGCTCCTGCACAGGGGCCTTGTTCACAACCTTATTTTGAAGTTCTTTTTTGTATTTTGATGGCATCTTTCTTTTCCTTGGACCATCAGCGGTGTGCAGGCCCATAGCGAGGTGAGGGGAAGTGTCCTAGGGGCACTTCGAAATTCAGAAGGAGGGAAGGGGGGTGTTCTACAGAGAATAAATAATAAAAATAGGTGTTTTTCGGGGCCTTCCACAAATGGACCCCGCCTAAACAAAATTCCTCGCTATGGGCCTGGCAGTGTGTAATTATCACTACAACCCTTACAGTTCTCAGTGCTGGTTCAATGTGTGCATCCTTAAATGGCCCAGTCATCTCACAGAGAATGCTTTTTGCATGAGGTAAAAGGAATTTTTTATTAGCGTTTGTGGAACCCTTGTGAATGTAGCACGTACAGAGCATTAGGCATTAGCATATTTTTGCAGGACACATGTGGCAATCCCACACGCACTTACGTGCTACTGAAAACGCTTCTTTCAGCCATCAACACCGATTCCTTCACGAGACATTTCCGCAAGCAGCACTGCTTGACTGAACCTAGTAGCAGTGAAGCTCCTTGTTAACTGCCACAGTTATCTATTCGTGAGAGTCGGTAACAATGGATAGCAAAAGGAAGTCTTACGAAACAACAGAAGCAGTGAATTCACCCGATGCAACAATCTGCCCAGTTACAATGCTTTCTTTAAGAATTGCAGTTATGCAAGAATATTTTGGTGCGGCAAGACGGAGCGGTTTCCATGTTCACCGAAAACACCAAAAACAGAATGAGAGAAACACAAGAGAGAAACGTCGATGCCCACCTGCCAGCTCGTCGTTAGGCTTGTTCTGTAGCTCCATGAACTCGTGCGGATAGGTGTCCATCCAATTCCAGATGGCCTGCAACCCAGAACACAGTACGAGCACGGAAGCTCTTCGAACACACTTTCACGAAAGAGTCTAAACAGTCAACAATCAACTTGTTAACAGTTGACGTGACAGTCAACTGCCACTACAGCTGCTTTGTGTTCTAGTGCGTTTGCTTCCGCATTCTTCCTGGCTTAATTATATTTACACTGATATGAAGCAGGCAAAGCGACAGCATCGACGAAGAGCTAGCTTGCTGCGATGATAAACGCTTCCCTGGTTGGGCAGCTCACAGTGCACAGGAAACACCGGCAAAGCAACTGATAAACTACTCTCACGATGCCTGGCAGAAAGTGATGCAGTACTTTTGGTACAGATGAAAGATTGCACTATGACACAAGGTAATAATTTTTTACATACATTGGCAGGACAATGTTATGCCATTAAAATGAGGCTTTAAACACAAGTTCGCTGTGAAGTTTATAAGAGGAATGCAACTTAATCCTTTTTTTTTTATAGATTTGATATGTACCATTTTGTTGAAACAAGGTTTCGGCGCACTCAACTATGAATTAAAAGCTTTTTTTAGAGTACCCAGAAGAAAAAAGAATAGTGAGGTTTTTTTATGATTTCGAAAAAGATTATCTGCCAGACAGAGATGGAAGAAAAAAAATAGAAGACTGCACCATCCTCAGAATTTTCTTTTTTTCCACCCACGCAAGCGTACCAACTTGCCCAGCGGGAAGCAGTTATTGGTGATTTTTCACAAACGCGATGTTACATGGCGGAATGAATGCACACTTCATTAGAGCACATTACAAGTGCGGACCCCCATTAAGATGAGCACCTGACCTTCTCTAGGCTGCTCATAAGGCAGAGGTGGGCATTCTTGCGCAGTGACCGGAACTTCGAGTTGATCTCTGCACAGAGGTTAGAAAAAAAAAAGGACAGGTTGGGGCTATCAGGAGGACAAAAAGTAAGAGACAGACAGCTCCTCACCATTGAGTAGCTTGATTAGCCGCGTCACGTCGACGTTGATGTGCTGGATGAGTTCAATGTCACTGAAGTCTGTCGTCTCCTCGTTAGCATTGGAGAGCTCGTGCAGCCTGCAGGAAGAGTGCCTGTTGGTTGGCTCGACAAAGTATAACACTTGCACTTGTGTTTTGTGGAGAATTGGTACATAGTGTGTCCTACAGAAGCACTCGACTACAAGGACCCTGCATTTGCCAAACTAATTGTCAAAAGTTACCACCAGTAAAAGTGATCATGTTGTGCAGCAAAAATGCATGCATGTTAGGTACTTTATTCATGCAGTCTGAGATTTATGTTACAATTTGGAGAACCTTGACTAAGCATGCACTGTGTACAACTTTGATAGGAAATGCATGGAAAATTTAAAAGCAGAAACCTTCACTCAAATGCCCTGTGCAATCACCAAAAGACACAAGTAGTGTACTGGCACTATGGGCCTACAGAGCAAGAAATTATGGGGTTATTATTCAATGCCGTCTATCACTATAACTAATACTGATAATGTGCTGCTGGCAAAAAGGTAACTCAATGGTGAAGCAACAGCTTTTTTTTTTCCACGAATTTCTTTGTTTCTTTCTTTCTTTCTTTTTTTTTCCCTGGCCTGCATGTATTGCTCTCTGTTATGTGTTGCTTGTAAAGGCCCTGGTGAAGTAAGGGGCGACAAAGGCATTGAGCGGACGCAACGCTGGCAACACAATAAAAGAACATAGACGCGAGGAACCCTCGTGGCACGAGAATCTTGAAGAAAAAGAAAGGAAGAAGAGAGGTGGTGGAGCAGCGCATGGAGGGGAAGCAGATATCGCCGGAGGAAGTAGCCATGCAGGCAAGAAACCCTGGCTCCTGCCGATACCTCGGGCCGCTGAGCCTGTGGCTCTGAAGGTTGAAGGAAGTTCTGGGGCAATCACCTGAATGTGAGTCGTTACGAGGCACTCGGACAACAACCGCTCGCGATTCATTGGGTAACCCCAGTGGAGCCTTGATCCCGAGTCAACGCCGCGAGGCGTCCCATCTAGGACTCTCCTTGTTCCTCCGGCCAAAACCCACGTTGATGTGCGGTCTTTGACTTTTCACGGTATTTTATAGGTGAACTGTACATTGGTTCTATAGCTATTTATACATATCTTAATATTTTGCATAGCGCAACTGGCTTGTATAGTTATTTTTCCATAGTATCAATGTTTGAAAGTGTGAGTGCTAACGAGAATGCCCGCTTCGTCCTTCATATTTCTCGAACCTGAGGCGGTGAAGCTAATGCGCCATGACACTCTCTTGTGGTATGATTGAGCATGTTAGCCATGAAAAGGAGCAGCGACACGAGCGTGTTCATGTATTAGTGAGTATCATGTCGCTGCTGTATAAATATATCTAGCAATACAGCACTAATGAAACAAAAGTGGCAGAAGTAAGCTAGACGAAAGGATCGCACTTCACTCGCCTGCCAGATATTCGGTTAAAGACGGCGTTAAAGTTGTTCAGGCTCAGCGCAAAGAGAACTTTGGAGGCCAGGTTCTTGAGCGGCACCACCATGGGGCTATCCGGCATGTCGATAAACTGCACAGCATCACCACACAGTCTCACAATAGGCCACTCCCATTCAACAGCACAACCACAGCAAACGGGTCGAGCTCTTCAATTGCTACCATGCCAATCAGGACAACACTGCATATTTCATGACTACAATATTGCTCGTCCATTTAAATTTGTCATCTTTCCTTTAGTGGCGTTTTTCTCATAAGTGCAGTACAAATGGCAAAAGTATCTTAACAGTGTACATTTTTAAGACAAAGCTCGGCCATGGTGGCTGTCATTTAATCTCGTCTGACATCTAAAGGTGCCCTGCAACACTTTTTAAGCATGCTCAGAAAACACTGCCGATCGGTTGTAGAGGCTTCTGAGAACATGCGAGCCAAATCTTATGGTGCAGCACGCGGCCTGGAATTCGCAATAAATTCTGATGGAAGTCAGCTAAAAATTGCTTTCTCTTGACAAATGGCCGAAGGTGCCAAAAAAATCACACAAGGAATGCCCATTTATCGGCCATTGGCTGATCTGAACATGGCGCGCTCGGTTGTTACAGAAATCGCCGCAAGAGGCCATCACTTTTCCACATGTGCGCGCGCAATCACACTGAAAAAGCCGCGTATTCGATGAAAAAAAAAAAAAGTGCTCAAGGTCACGAGGCGCATGTGACGTTTTTTGTTTGCCACTCCCATCCCTCCCTGCTTAGCTTCCAGCGCTTTTGTCTGGACGAGAGAAGAGAGAATGCGATTGCAGCGTGCGACAAATCTTTGTAACTCCGCTCATACTGGACGGATTCTTGAAATTTTTGCAGCGTTGAATTTGTGAGGCAATAAATTTTTCCAGTGAATTAATTCCATGGTTACTGAAAAAAGTGTTTCAGGGCCCCTTTAAGACAGCCATGAAGTACGACAATCACCAATACCATTATAGCTATGAGTACTACAATCAACTGCACTTTAAAGTGAATAAACAAAAATCTGTAACTGACCCTTCTGTATTGAAACTACAATTAAAAAGTCAAACTGAAATCGTGATTATGCAGCTCAGAAATTAGAGCTCTCATGTTATAAGTAGCATACAGTAAACTTCAACAAAAGTTCATGGCCAACAGGAGCTGATAAAATTTTATTTCCACAAGCTGGTGTATGTGATTTACAGACTGCCCTAATTTGTACGCACACAACAAATCACTATGCAGTTTTACTCGCTATGGCCTCCAGTGCTTTCTCATATCCCAAGATCCTTAATGCTTCATGCCTGCACGCACAGGAAGAAGTCAACGACACTCAAACAACGGATGTCTCCACCCATAACCAGTGTTTCATCTAGACTGGTCTTCATCATGGCAACAACTCTTGTTCGTATTCAAACAAGCACATGAGTATACTGACGCAAGATAACTAAACAAAGTTCTTGAACAAAAATAACAGCTTTGTTCTTCTTTGTTAGATACATGTGCAAACAGCCAGGACAGCTAACATAGAGAAACCTGTCTTATAGCACTCGTAATCCATCAGTAAAGTCATTTTAGCACCATTGCTTCTCTCTTGATGCGCGTAGCTAACAAAGAAGAAGGAAGAACTCAGCTTGTCTTAGACTTTACGTGGTTATCTCATTTAGGTCGCTTAAAAATGGATGTCTGTCTTAAGGACTTCGGAGGTTGTCTAAGCATAACAATCACCTGGTGCATATTTGTGAATTTCACAACATTCCTTTGACAAACCCAAGCTTTCTTAATACATGTATACATCAAGTGAGAGAAAGCAGTATCGAAATACCATTTTTGGACAATCAGCAGCCCAACAAGAGTTAACTAGGGATACCCTGCCACATGATTCAGCCTTCACAGCCTTCTCCATGAACTACAGTGGCCATATGAGCTTGATTTATGGACCAATATATTCATTGGCAAAGAATTATAAATTTGCAGGGATCAGGCTCAGTACTGAAGTGCTCTTAAAATAAACAGAGCAAGCAAGAGCATTTTAACACGTGATATAGAAAGCAGCAAATGCATAATGTAACAAATAAGCTCGTTAACTTACTCACTTTTGATAACTGGCTAAATACGAGGTCCACTTTAAAAGCAATTATCGACAGCTCATTAGAGTTTGCTTTGCGAATCACGAATCACGTGAACTTTGCAAGTCACGTGACAGTAATTTAACACCGTCCAGCCTGGTGAGCACTATTACATTCCAATTGCCTCCACTACATGTGTTTACTTAAACTCTAGTCCAAGGCAATTGGTAGCTGTAGCACTCATGCCCAGAGGTGTAAGCAGAATTTTTTTTTTTTTTTTTTCAGAGGGAGGGGGGCGGGGCACCTCCTTAATCTGAAAGGGGGGAGGAGGGTCTGGGCAGGCAAATAGTCATTTTGCACTCTGTGTGCTACGGCGTAAAAAAAGAAAAAAAAACATTTTCCAAGGGTGGGGGGGGGGGGGGGCATGGATTCGGTGTGTTAACCCTTCGCTAAACCACTGTCCGTGTCAAAGGGCTGGAGCCTGAATCAGCTGAACTATGACACTTATTCCAGTGAAAACAGCAGTCCTATATGAAAAACTAGTACATAACACACCAGGCAAGAAGTGAAAAGAAAAAAACTCAGTCAACTGACCTGGCAGAGCTCGCGCAGCAGTGCCTTGACGTTCATGGTCTCGTCGTAGCGCGTGGTCTCCTTGGGTTGCTGTGGAAGTGGAGTCGCAGAGATCTACGGTTGAAAACGAGGTCCCCACACCCAGTCGGAAGGATAGACCCCCAGACGCACACGGCTACACCGACAGCAACCAGCAGAGACACAGAGCCAACCACACAGCATGCAGCAACACCACATGCAACAGTGCCGGCATCTTTCAAACTGGAGAGCTCCATAAATTTAAAGGGACATTTCAAAGGAAGTCAAACAGCACTTGTTTTTAATAATCCAAGAGTTATAATATCAGTGAAAACATGATAACCTTAAAACTGTGAAACCGGTGGCCACCTTTGAAATTACACACTAGCACTAAATGAAGTCTAATTTTTGGCACACTCTAGCTAGAACAAGTTGACCGTTTTAATAAAGGGACGCTGCATTACTCTTCAGAAAAAAAAATTAAAAAGGCTTCGCTAGTTTTAGCAAGCTCAATGTCTCTCTCAATTGTTCATTTAAAGAAAAAAAAGGGACCCTGGAAAGGGCAGCGTAAATTTAGTATTTAGCTTCGGCACACACATGCAAACAAATAAGTGGCAAATGAGCAACGCTGTAGCAAACAAATGGTTTAGCCAGGTGTGCAACTGCAGATAAGGGTTTGTGAATACCAAACTGATGCTTTAGAAATGCTGCATACTACATACAGTGTTTGTTGTTCCAGTCAAAGCAAGATAACAATGGTTGAGGAGCATTGCTGGGTTGTAATGACACATTGCCAGCATTGCTCCTTTTCTTATTTAGTACACAGCACTTTCTCCACCACGTTTTGCAACCAAGCCTTAGCAATGGCAATCCATGCATTATAAACTGACTGTGCCTTTGCAGTAAAGGCCCACTACAAGCTAAAGCTCACCATCAGCTCAAGAAAAGTGAGCACTACCCCATTGGGAAAATCAAAGTTAACAATGTGACATAATAAGCCAATATGAACACCCACAATATTCGAAAATCATAAAAAGTATGTTGTCACCAATCATATACCCACACTAATTAGTATTACGACTTCACTTTAAATTTCAGTTTCTCAATACATAAATTAAAGTAGCCAAATAAGAATAACCTTTCTGAATGAATGAAGGTGTCGGAAGCACAAGTAAAACGTTTAGGGCACATTCAAAATTACATTGTACGGAACATTTGTAGTATGTGCAACTAAAGCTGCTTTCTATATGGTCCCCAGGTCTGCTCAGTAAAAACATTTTGCCTAGAGCGTGCAGCACACAAACACTGTAAATAAAAAGGTTTCGTTTCAGCTCTCAATTTTTCCTCATCAGCCCCTTTCCCACACCTATGCTACCATGAATCTGCCCCTGATATTACCCACAGCGGAGTGTCGCTGCACTGATGTTACATGCATACTAACGCTAGCAAGCAGAGCCTATATAGCCACATTCTGTCCTACGTCTGCTGACTACTTTCTATGCCTGCGAACTTCTTAAATAAAGTGCAGTGTCTTTCTAGTTGACAGTCTGTAAAAATAAGGAACCACTCAGTATTTGACTCAATATTCAAAATTACTACAAGTAATATACTTCCGGTTTTTGCAAATTGGAAAGCATCACTATGTAGCAACACCTCTGTCAAAGTGAAGCCGCTAGACTGTAACACAGCTCACAGATTCTACGTTAAAAGGAGTGGATCGAAATTCTGCCGAGCAACGATTAAATATTTCTTGCTTCGCTTATTAATAAGCTGACTAGCAAAATAACCAAAACTCAGACCAAAAGATTATGAAAGGCCATAGCAAAAAAAGAGAAAGAGAGAGAAAAAAAAAAGCAGTGCAAAATAAATGCACAGGCACCATTGTGCAAAGCAGCACTGACCCTGCTGAGGCATTTCTCTAGTGTATCCAGCACAATGAGCTGCGACTCGTAGAAGTTCTTCTCAAACTCTGGCTGGATTGAACTGTGCGTCCTCTGGTAGACAAACTGCATGTGCATACATAGATCATTGAAGTGAATAGAATCAAAACAAATAACATTCTCTGCCGTTGCACGTCAAAAACATGTGGTTGACACCAGCAAGCAAATGAGGTTCCCTCGACACCTTCAATAAAGTGCTTCTTACACAATCCGCTTTTGTATTGATTCGAAGACTAAATAAAACAAAATCTCATTTCTGCCGGTAAGCACACTCGGCGATATTTTTTTTGAAACTGACAGTGAATGCTCTTAAAAACACTCTTTATGGTGCATTTTAAAAGAAGCAAACCAATATCAAGAATCGATGCCATTATTAGTTGACACAAAAAGCCTGACACCCCACTTGAAAATTTTGCACCGGTAAAAGTTTGTACACAGTTTCATCAGTGCTCTAAAGAATGCGTGCATGCGTTTTTAGTGAATATGCCTCGCTTCCGCCATAATAACGTCCCACTTAACCTGCTTGTAACAATATTTCCACCATCCCCTTTCCATCAACCATGCGAAGAGTAGTCCCTACATTCTTGCAAAGCTGTTCATATATAATCTTAAATGCACGGTCAGCTCCGGAAGGGCATGAATTTCATGAATACATTCGACTTTTACTCCTTCCAATTAAGCTGCTTACACTTCAGCGAATCACTGTATGGGATTTAAGTAACATAATGAAACTTTAGCCTCAAGATATACATGCCCTGGCTTTGTGAAAAGTCACATTTTTCTTTGCAAAAATCCCATGTTTGCTACACACTTGTGTAGCTGAAGGTGCTACAATGCTTACAGATCCTACCGAGAAAAATGGCAGTTTTTAGTCCACTTTAGTTGCTTTCAATTTTGGTCAAAGTCACTATACTGCATTAAAGCAATGTGCCCTATGCTTTGCTTGGCTTAATTGTCAGTTTAGCCTAACAAAGAAAGAAGCCCTTCAAACTATTCACCTTCTTCATTGGAATGGGAATGAAATGGAACCTGTCAATTTAAGGTTAAATGCACAAACTTTCATTTCCCCCAATTTCAATTTCATCCGCATGATATTAGATTGTAAGCTACGTCAGAGCTAACAACCCTTTCAATGGACAGATTCGTTACAACACAAAGCAGTTATGTTGAGCAATTGCACATATCACAATTGTACATACCACTCAAAAGATTTAATCTTGCATTCTATACTCTGGGCACTTCACTATCTTGTTCCACAAGAGGACCTTCCTGCTGGCAGCAGTAGAACAACAATGTCATTTGTTTGCTATAGTCTAGCTGCAGTCTAGTTGAAATTTAGTAGAAAGTATAGCAGAATTTCCATAACAGTTAATAAAGGAAAATACATGAACGACACAATGCCATACCTGCCAAGTTCAAGAATTCTGAATCTGGGAGATTTTCACAACGAGGGGTGGGGGAGTTGCGATAAATTATTTGGCCCTACTTTTTCTTCGGCACCAAAAAAAAACCCAAGGACAAACAAACAAACCAAAAAGAATCGCGAAAAACAAGAGGGGGTAGGAGGGGTCTCAATCTCAAGCGCCAACATCAGCGTTGAGGTCTTATAGTGGCTTGGAGTGGCCAAACACACGAGGATAGGATTTCCCCACTAAGGTGAGAGTCTCAAAGGATCAACACAACTAGCAGAATTTATTTTCGTCAACGAGACTCGCGTATGTCTTCCTGGGACACACGTGAGCGGACGAGAAAGCCCAGCTGGATGCCGCAAAAGCGCGGATCAAAGCTTTGCTCACTACTAGATTCTTTTGACAGGAACGCCAAAACGTGTCTGGCTTTTTTTTATGTATTTACTGGCTTTAATCTACTGCTGTGTTAGCCACGTGTCCTCAGAGCATGCAGACCGCTGTCACGTCGCCGCGACTGTGGTTTTGTGCACGGCGGTTGCGGCAAACGGTAGTTCCTTTTGCAATCCCCATGCACTTGGCTGTGCACGCGCCTTCAAAACTGAGTCGTTTTATGCCATCTACGATTGCATATGCTGCGGTTTTGTCCGCAGAGTTTGTGGAAAGCAGCGTTGCTTTGACTGGTTGAGTGTTGGACGCGCGCACACTTTCGGGGTTGTGTCAGTTACGCCGTCGCCATACATGATCGTGTCAAGAACGACTGCAGATTCATTCACAGCGGTTGTGGCAAGGACAATCACACACACTGTAGAAGACAGTGCATACGCCGGTTGCACGCGTACTTCTGAAGCTTCGAGTAGGCTGCTCTCGGCCTTCGTTCGGCGGTTTGCGTACTAAAGTTCGTATCACTTGCCGCGATTAGGAAATGAGTTTGGAACATTTGAATTTAAGACCAATGGACATAGTGAAATTTTGCTTGGAATTTCACGAATTCGTATCTGCCATAGTTTTGGATCACTGAGATTCTACTGCACATTTAGATGAATACCTCTTAAATTAATTTATAATAAAATGGGGTAGATTCGAAAAGCCTGGAGCGAATTGAGCTGCCTTCTTGTCAATACGGCCAGATCACGCACAAAAATTTCTATTTCCGGGAGACTTGGCAGGTATGCAATGTTGACATTTTGATGAGGTAGTTGTATCTCAGAAGTGAATCAAATGTGACCCGCACCAGAGTCTGTGCATGTCGGGTCACCACCACTGGGCCAAGGCCACTGGGCCAGCAAGGAATAAGGAAAACGATGGAGGCAGACGTACCACATCGTTGACTGAGTGGAGAATCTTGGTGAGCCCCGAGATGACGAGGGAGAACTTGTACTTGCTGATGTTGATGAGGCATTCCTTGTTCTGCTCCACGTTGATCCGGGAATGGGTGGTCTGGGGCCCACTCCGGCATGGCAGCTGCAAAAAAAAAAAGAGCACAGTGGTTCCCAAGGTTTGTCTTAAAGAAATTTTGCCGGGAACCAGGACTTCATTTCACTTAGACACAGCAGGCACTGTGCACTGACCAAAGGGCACATTGTAGCTCCCATTTAATCACCCAGTGCCGCTAATGTCAGCTGCTAATTTTATTAAGTTCACCTGCAGTCAGCACAATCAGAGTTGCCAGTTTTGCTTATAATAAGCAAATTTGGGCTTTTCTCACCAAGCTGCTTGTGTAATTTTCTAGTTGCTTGCACCGCCTTTTTTGGGGGGGGGGGGGGGCGAGAAAGGGGGCTGATTTGAGTTTTTTCTGAAAATATGGCCGTTTCAGTACTTGCCACATCCTCTAAAAGTGCATTTGCATATTACTTTGGGTAGCTGAACATCTTGTGAAGAAGAAGATGTGCGTGCAGCAAGCAGCATCGCCAACGCCCGGCTCTCTTGGCTCGTGCTTCGATTCGTTGCTGTGCCAATCGCTGGACGGTTCTTCACGCTATCTCGTTGCTGTCTTTTACGGCTAATAAACCTCCTCACATTTGGTGGAGGTGCTGTTAATCCCCGTTGCTACACCCTGGAGCTGCGGAGCCGCACGCTACTGCCTGTCATGACCGACAACGCCACTACATCGACGACTTCGCCCCAGTTCAACTGCCCTGGCCATCCTAGGCTACGGGACACGAAGGTCTTCAGCGGTGCGGATGGGACCGACGTCGAAGACTGGCTCGAGCACTACGAACTGGTGAGCGCCAACAATAAATGGGATGAAGCCGACAAGCTGGGCCACGTCATATTTTATCCCACTGGCGTCGCCGAATTGTGGTTTAACAACCACAAACACAACATCCCCACATGGAGCGTCTTCAAAACGTCATGTGCTGAAGTGTTCGGTCGGCCGGCTGTCCGCAAGCAGCGGGCAGAACAGCACTTGCGCGTCCGCTCTCAGCAGACTGGCGAGACCTTTACCAGCTATATTGAGGACGTCGTCGACCTTCGTCGACGTGCGAATGACACCATGCCCGAATCTGACAAGGTCAAACACATCCTGAAGGGCATCGACGACGGCGCATTTCAAATGCTCTTGGCAAGAAATCCGAGCACAGTTTCCGAAGTCGTCAGCTTGTGTCAGAGCTACGACGAGTTGAAGAAGCAACGCACTCTGACTCAGCAGCCTCAGCATGGTGGTGAGTCACTGTCCAGTTTCGACACCCTGCCTGACAATTCACCGTTGCTTCAGCAAGTTCGTGCCTTCGTCCGTGAGGAAGTCGCCCGCCAACTTTCCCTAGTGCCCTTCACTCAAGAGACCACCACCCGTCTAACTGCCCCACTTCGCACTGCTATTTCGGAAGAGGTTGCCCAAGCTGTTCCTCTTGCGCACCACGAGCCGCCTCTATCCAGCCGTGTTCACTGCCAGCGTGTCGCGCAGCCGGTAGACCCTCCTGTCGCCTGTCCGCCAGCCGTGCAGCCTGTGGCCGCACCCCTTACGTATGCAGCGCAGCCTGTGGCTCCTCCTGTCGCCTGTTCGCAAGTGATGCAGCCTGTAGCAGTGCCGTTCAGATATGCAGACGCTGTGCGTAGGCTTCCGCAACCACCCTACACCTCGCACTCACAGCCCGCACACCCGACTGCTTATACTGCATCTTGGGCGGCGCCACCAGTCGCCAATCCTTGGAGGACGCCCGATAACCGACCGATATGCTACGCCTGCTTCACTCCCGGACACGTTGCCCGCTACTGCCGCCGTCGACCTCAGACGTTCGGCGACTATGTCCGATCGTCGCGACCCAGCAGCCAACCCTTCGCGCAATACGGGCCGGTATCGTCACCTCGCTATGCCCCTCCCAACGACCCCGACTTCGTGACGCCACGCGCACCCTCTCCTCGTCGGCGGTCGCCCTCCCCCATGCGTCGCCGGCCCAGACCTTCTGACCAGGAAAACTAAGCACCGCAGTTCAAGAGGCAAGAAGTGCGCCATTTTCGAACTGTCTAAGCCCTCGCCCCTCTCCTGCTAACGTGGTCGCAGTAACTGTTGAAGGTTATTGTACTTTCGCCCTTGTAGACACTGGCGCCGCTGTTTCTGTTATTGCCGCTAATGTCTGCCGTGTATTACGTAAAGTCACAACGCCGCTTTCGGGACTGTCACTCCACACCGCAAGTGCACAGCAAGTAACGCCTCTCGCAGCCTGCACTGCAAGAGTGTCCATCGAAGGCATTGTTTACATTGTGGAGTTTATTGTCCTTACTGTCTGTTCGCATGACGTCATCCTCGGATGGGAATTCCTGTCCCGCCGTAATGCCGTCATCGACTGCGCACGCGCTGAAGTTGAGTTTTCACCCTTTTGTGATGTCCCATTACTTGACGCTCTTCATCAGCCGCCCAAGTTGTTCGTGCATGAAGATACCGATATTCCACCTGAAAATTTCGCACTTGTTCCAGTTTCATGCAATGCCTACATTGACGCTACAGTCTTTTTTATGCCTTCCGATATCTTCACGAGTCGTCGAGCTCTGCCGCTGCTTTTTGCAACGATTGACCTTGCCGCCGGAAGAAGCAATATGTTCATACTCAATCCGCTTTCCACACCTGTCACTTTGCTTGCGGGGGAATGTCTCGGCCGCGTGCAGGATCTCGACCCTTCGTCTTTGATTGATGTCCCGGATGACTACTGCGACCACCCAAAATCACTGTCGGTCCTCGAGGAGTCGTCCAAGGATTTGTTTCCAGCACCATCGCCGACACCCTCACTCCCACCGAACATGCCGACCTGCTTAATCTTCTGCATGAGTTCCGGAATTCTTTCTATGTGTCGCAACCTCATCTAGGCCGCACGTCAAGCATCATGTTGACACCGGCCTACACCAGCTACTGCATCAAAGACCATACCGTGTCTCCGCTGAAGAGCGCCGCGTCATCAACGATCAAGTCGAAGATATGCTTCGTAGAGACGTCATTCGACCATCTCACAGTCCCTGGGCGTCTCCTGTCGTCCTGGTGCGTAAGAAAGACAGATCTATCCGATTTTTCGTGGACTATCATCGTTTGAATAAGATAACCCGCAAGGACGTATATCCTTTGCCGCGCATTGATGACGCCATTGACACCCTCCACGGAGCGGAATTCTTCTCGTCGCTAGTTTTGCGGTCTGGCTACTGGCAAGTTCCAATGGCTGAAGCCGATTGCCAAAAAACTGCATTTATTACACCTGACGGACTATACGAGTTTAACGTCATGCCCTTTGGGCTTTGTAATGCGCCCGCCACGTTTGAACGACTTATGGATAATACGCTACGTGGCTTCAAGTGGAATATGTGCCTCTGCTACCTCGACGATGTCGCGGTTTTCTCGCACAACTTTCCTACGCACCTCTTTCGCCTCAGGCATGTTTTGACTTGTCTGACCAACGCTGGCCTGCAGCTTAACCTGAAAAAATGCCACTCCGCTGCACGCGAGCTCGTCATCCTAGGCCACATCGTGTCGAAGCACGGCGTATTACCTGACCCAGCAAAACTTCGAGCAGTCGCAGAATTTCCCAAGCCGACGACCATGAAGGAACTTCGCAGTTTTGTAGGCCTATGCTCATATTTCCGGTGCTCTGTTCGCAATTTTCCATTCATCATGTCACCATTAATCCAGCTTTTTCGCAGTGACGTGAACCTCTCCTCCTGGTCCCCTGCATGTGACGTTACCTTCACTACTCTGCGCCGTCTGCTCACCTCCCCACCTATTCTTTTCGCCACTTCGACCCGACGGCTCCTACCGAAGTGCACACCGACGCCAGTGGCATCGGCCTAGGCGCTGTCCTCGCTCAACGAAAGCCCGGCTATTCAGAATACGTTATAGCCTACGCTAGCCACACTCTGACGAAAGCTGAAACTAATTACAGCGTGACAGAAAAAGAGTGTTTGGCTCTGGTGTGGGCGCTTGGAAAGTTCCGGCCGTACTTATACGGCCGCCCGTTCGATCTAGTAACTGATCACCACGCGCTTTGCTGGATCTCCACGCTGAAAGACCATTCTGGCCGCCTTGCGCGATGGGCACTCCGCATCCAGGAGTACGACATTCGCGTCGTATACCGCTGCGGATGCAAACACTCTGACGCTGACGCCCTGTCCAGCTCACCTTTGCTACCAGCTGCGACGTGCGGAAACACGTGCCTCCAGACCTTGTCATCGTTAAATCTTGACTCAATTGCCACCGAACAACAACGTGACCTGTGGATCGTACCTCTTCTCGAATATCTATCCGGTACGCCCAACCTTCCGGTAACTCGATCTCTCCGACGTCAAGCTTTCCATTTTGCCATCCGCGGTCAACTTCTCCATCGACGCAACTACTCTCCTGGTGGCCGCCGGTGGCTACTGGTCATTCCACGCACTTTACGATCACAGGTATGCGCCTCTCTTCACGACGATCCACAATGTGGCCACGCCGGGGTGTTCAAAACATATGAACGCCTTCCCCATCGCTATTACTGGCGCGGCATGTACAATTTTGTACGCAAATTTGTGCAGTGCTGTCCTGACTGCCAGTGACGCAAATCAATACCGCTACGTGCGACTGGCGAATTGCAGCCACTTCCGTGCCCTGCCAAGCAATTTGATCGCGTTGGCGTTGACCTCTACAGCCCCCTTCCATTGACCCCAGATGGCAATCGGAGGATTATAGTGGCGGTCGACCATCTAACACGCTACGCCGAAACAGCCGCTTTACGGAGCACTACCGCTCAGGATGTCCCCTCTTTCATTTTACGTCAATTTATCCTTCGACATGGCGCACCGCGAGAGCTCCTTAGTGACAGAGGTTGCGCTTTCCTCTCCGAGGTCATCGAAGCTCTGGTTTCGAAATGCCACGTCATTCATCAGAAAACGACAGCATACTACCCGCAGACTAATGGGCTAACGGAACTGTTTAACCGCATGCTTGGTGATATGCTCTCAATGTACGTGGCATCTAATCATAGCAACTGGGACCGTGTTCTCCC